CAAAAGAAATATTTAGAGCATGGGGCTGCTTGGAGTGTAGGAGCAAGGTGGGAAGGAGATGTAGAGAGCTAATGTTATCACTGTTTTGCAAATAAACATAGAGAAGCTAAATAACTGCCCAAGTCAGAAAGATAAAGACCATTACAGTATACTAACACATATATATGGAATTTAGAAAGATGGTAACGATAACCCTATATGCAAAACAGAAAAAGAGACTCAGATGTCTAGAACAGACTTGTGGACTCTGTGGGAGAAGGCGAGGGTGGGATGTTTCAAGAGAACAGCATCGAAACATGTATATTATCTAGGGTGGAACAGATCACCAGCCCAGGTTGGGTGCATGAGACAAGTGCTCGGGCCTGGTGCACTGGGAAGACCCAGAGGGATCGTCGGGTGGAGAGGGAGGTGGGAGGGGGGACCGGGATGGGGAATACATGTAAATCCATGGCTAATTCATTTCAATGTATGACAAAAACCACTGCAATGATGTAAAGTAATTAGCCTCCAACTAATAAAAATAAATGGGAAAAAAAAATAAAAAACTACAGGAAAATCTAAAAATAAATAAATAAATAAATAAACTACAGGAAAATCTAAAAAAAAAAATAAATAACTGCCCAAGTAAGTGGCAGAGTCAGGATTCGAATGCAGGCTCCCATATCTGTGCTCTTTTTTTTTTTCCCAGCTTTATTGAAGTATAATTGACAACATTTTAATGTATTCAGAGTGTCACAATGTGATGAATGATAAGTGTGTATACATTGTGAAAGGATTCTCAGCAAATTAACTAACACATCCAGTACCTCACATATTAACTTTTTTTTTTTCCTTTTCAATGTTTGTTCTCTTAACCACTGTGGTACGCCTTCTGTATCAGTCATAAGATCTTAGGGGGAAAGAAACCTTAGCAATTATCTGTTCTGATGTGTTCAAGCTTTTTATTTTTTGAAAGACAATTAAAATATTTTTGCTTTATCATGGTAAAATGTACATAACGTAAAAGTTGCCATCTTAACCATTTTTTAAGTGTACAGTTCAGTGGCATTAAGTGTATCACATTGTTATACAGCCATCACCACTATCCATTTCTACAAATTATTTTTTGTTTTTTTTGAGAAATAATTGACATACAATCACTGTATAAGTTTAAGACATACAACATGATGGTTTAATTTACATATATTGTGAAATGACTACCACAGTAGGTTAAGCTAACCTTCATCCTCTCTTATTGGCACAATAAAAAGAATAAAGGAAAAAATTCTCCTTGTGAAAAGAACTCTTAGGATTTACTCTCAACAGTTTTGCTGTATATCACAACAGTTAGCTATAGTCATTATGCTATACATTACATCCCTAGTACGTATTCATCTTATATCTAGAAGTTTGTAGCTTTTGTCTCCAGAACTTTTTAATCATGTCATATTAAAACGCTGTACCCATTAAATAACTCCCCAGCCTCCTCACCCCACAGCCCTGGTAACCACTATTGTTGTTGGGTTGCTTGGTCGTGTCTGATTCTTTGAGACCCCATGGACTGTATGTAGCACGCCAGGCTTCCCTGTCCTTCACTGTCTCTGAGTTTGCTCAAACTCATGACCACTGAGTCAGTGATGCCATCCAACCATCTCATCCTCTGTCGCCCCCTTCTCTTGCCCTCAATCTTTCCCAGCCTTGGGGTCTTTTCCAGTGAATTAATTCTTTGCATCAGGTGGCTAAAGTATTGGAGCTTCAGCTTCAGCATCAGTCCTTCCAATGAATATTTATGGTTGCTTTCCCTTAGGATTGACTGGTTTGATCTTGCTTGCTGTTCAAGGGACTCTCAAGAGCCTTCTCCAGCACCACAGTTTGAAAGAATCAATTCTTCGGCATTTAGCCTTCTTTATGGTCCAGCTCTCACATCTGCACGTGACTACTGGAAAAACCATAACTTTGCCTATATAGAGCTTTGTCAGCAAAGTGATTTCTCTGCTTTTTAATATGCAGTCTAGGTTTGCCATAGCTTTTCTTCCAAGGAGCAGGCATCTTAATTTCATGGCTGCAGTCACTGTCCTCAGTGATTTTGGAGCCCAAGAAAATAAAGTCTGCACTGTGTGCATTTTTTCCCCATCTACTTGCCATGAAGTGATGCAACCGGATGCCATGATCTTAGTTTTTTGAATGTTCAGTTTTTTCACTCTCCTCTTTCACCTTCATCAAGAAGCTCTTTAGTTCCTTTTTGCTTTCTGTCACTAGGGTGGTGTCATCTGCCTATCTGGGTTACTGATATTTACCCCAGCAGTCTTGATTCCAGCTTTTGTGAGTTATCCAGCCTGGCATTTCACATGATATGCTCTCAATATAAGTTAAATAAGCAGGGTGACAGTATACAGCCTTGACTCACGCCTTTCCCAATTTTGAACTAGTCCGCTGTTCTTGATGACTAGTCCGTCGATGCTGCTTGACCTGCATACAGGCTTCAGGAGACAGGCAAGATGGTCTGGGATTCCCGTCTCTTCAAGAATTTTCCACAATTTGTCGTGATCCACATAGTCAAAGGCTTTAATGTAGTCATTGAAGCAGAAGTAGATGTTTTTCTGGAATTCCCTTGTTTTGTCTGTGATCTCATGGATGTTGGCAATTTGATCTCTGGTTCCTGTGCCTTTTCTAAACCCAGCTTGTACGTCTGGAAGGTCTCGGTTCACGTACTGCTGAAACCTAGCTTGAAGGATTTTGAGCATTACCTTGCTAGCATGTGAAATGAGTGCAAACCTTCTTTGGCATTGCTTTTCTTTGGGATTGGAATGAAAACTGACCTTTTCCAGTCCTGTGGCTACTGCTGAGTTTTCCAAATTTTCTGGTATATTGAGTGCAGCACTTTAAGAACATCATCTTTTAGCATTTGAGATAACCACCATTATACTTTGTTAAATAAACTGTCCTAGGTACCTTGTATAAGTAGAATAAAAAAAAAATTTGTATTTTTGCTTTTGTTCACCTAGCATAATGTCTGCAAGGATTATCAATATTGTGGCATTTGTTTTTCTTTTCCTTTTTTCCTTCCTTCCCTCTTTTCTTTTTTATTAATAGTCTTTTGAATGGGAGTGAAGTATTTTGATTACATTTCTCTAATGATTAATGATGTTGAGCATCTTTTCATGTGCTTATTGACACATCTTCTTTGCAGAATGCCTATTCATTTTTTACTCTGGTTGTTTTTCTTGTTGTTTCAGTTTAGGAATTCTGTCTGTATTGTAGATGTTAATTCTTTATCAGATAGATAGGTGATTTTCCCATTGTGAGTTGCCTTTTAGTCTGTTGATGTCCTTTGATGCACAAACTTTTAAAATTTTGAAGAAGCTCAATTTGTCTATTTTTAATTTTGTTGCCTGTGCTTTTGGTGTCATATCCAATAAGTCATTGCCAAGTCCAGTTCAGTGAAGCTTTTTCTGTATGTTTTCTTCTAGTTCTTTTTTTTCCCACTTTAGGTCTTACAGTTCTTTGATTCATTTTGAGTTTATTTTTGGCTACGGTTTTAGGTAAGAATTCAAATTCATTCTTTCACGTGTGAATATCCAGTTTTCTCAACACTATTTGTTGAAATGACTGCCCTTTCCCTATTTAATAGTCTTTGCATCCTTGTCAAAAATCATTTGGCCGTATATGCTAAGATTTCTAGACTCTGTCTTCTCTTGGTCTGTATGTTGTCTCTGTGCCAGTACCACATTGTTTTGAAGCTTTGTAGTAAGTTTGAAATTAGAAAGTGTGTGTCTTCCAACTTTGTTCTTTTTCAAGATTGTTTTGGCTATTTGAGCTTCCTCGAGCTTCCATATGAATTTTAGGATAGATTTTCTATTTCTGCAAAAAAATCACTGAAATTTTGATAGGAGCTGCATTAAATCTGTAGATCAATGTAGTATTTACATCTTAACAATATGAAGTGTTCCAGGCCATGAACATGGGGTGTCTGTGCATTTATTTATATCTTCTTTAATTTCTTTCAACAGTGTTTTGTAGTTTTCATTGTATAAGCTTTTCACCTCTTTAGTTAATTCCTAAGTTTGTATTCTTTTTGATGCTATTGTAAATGAAATTGTTTCATGATTTCTTTTTCAGATTTTCATTCTTAGTGTACAGAAATAAAAGTGATGTTTGTGTTTTTGTTTTGTATTGAAATTTACTGGGTTTTTTTTTTTTTTTTTTTAGTTTTGACGTAGTGTGTGAAACCTTTTTATCTACATATGAGACTTTGTCATCTGCAGATAGTGATAAATTTACTTCTCTTCCAATTTTGGTGCTTTTTATTTTTTCTTGCTTAACTTCCCCGATAGAGTTTCTGATCCTATGCTGAATTTAAGTGGCTGAAGTGGGCATCCTGTTTTGTTCCTTAAGCTTTCATTTTGTAGTTGTGGAAATATAGGCCCAGAGAGGGGCATTTACCCACCCAAAGTTACACAGCAAGTTCATAGCAAAGTAGGAACTGGTACCCAAATTTCAACTTCTGGTCCAGTGTTCTTTCCTTTATATTTGTGTTGTTGTTTAGTCACTAAGTTGTGTCCACCTCTTTTGAGACCCCATGAACTATAGCTCACCAGGCTCCTCTGTCCATGGGATTTCCCAGTCAAGAATACTGGAGTGGGTTGCCATTTCCTTCTCCATGGAATCTTCCTGACCCAGGGATCAAACATACGTCTCCTGCGTTGGCAGGCAGGTTCTTTACCACTGAGCCACCAGGGAAGCCTTTCCTTTAGTTTGGGTTGCCAAATTAGGGATTGCTTGTTATGGAAAGGAGGCAACATGAGTCTCTTATTTATTCTAAGTTCACATAGAATATTTTCATATCAGTTATTCATAATAAACAATAATCTTGAGAAATTTTAATATTATGGGATTTTCTGCTATTTTGATGTCACTCTGATCTTTTTCTTGTTTTTTTTTTATCTTTTTCATCTAATGTACGTAACCTAAATGTTTGCTTATGTTTCAGAATGTCATTATTTTTCTTTGTGTTTCTTCAGCGCAGTTACAATTGGAACTGATATGTTGGAATTGGATTGCCATATCACAAAAGATGAGCAAGTTGTAGTGTCACATGATGAGAACCTAAAGAGATCAACAGGGGTCAATGTAAACATCTCTGATCTCAAGTACTGTGTAAGTAAAAATGCATGATAAACTAATAACTAATAGGTATTTTAATAAGATTTTTTAAAATGGTAAGTGCCAGATAGCGCTTCAATAAATAAGGAAAAAAGTTAAAGATTAATGAATGTCAAAGGAAATTTAAAAAACTATTCTGACTTCCAGTGAGAATTTGTATTCATTACATACATTTGTGAAGACTTTATTTTGATAAATGTTTCAACAAAATTACCGAAGTCCTCAAATGTAAAACTACTGAAGTTCAACTTGTTGCAAATATTCTACAATTTATTTGATTCAGATTATATATATGAACTAGTTTTAGTCTTCAGGAATAAGAAAAAATCCTTTTAAAAATCTGATTTTAGTAGTTTACATGCTCATTATAGTAAACTGATAAATGGAAGAAAAACAATGCCTAATTCTACCACCTAAAGAAAACTTATGTCAACAGGATGCTATCTTTATATATACTCTGAATGTCTTTTACATGGTTGTGTTCTCATTGTATATTATTTATATTGTATTTTTAAACACTTTAACATTATGGCATGACATACATTTTTTTCCTTTTTTTTAATAGACTTTTATTCTTTAGAAGTTATATCCACAAAAAATTAATCAGAATATGTAGAGATTTCCCAAATACTTTCTGACCTAACACAGGTACAGCCTCCCTCGACTATCAGCATCCTGCTCCATAGTGGAGCATTTGTTATAGTTGATGAACCTACACTGATACATCATCACCACCCACATAGCTTGCATTAGGATTCATTCTCCATGTTGTATATTCTATAGGTTTTGATGTGGCATACGTGAAAATAACTTGTATCCACTAATATAATGTTATACAGCATGGGTTCCCTGTCCTAAAAATTCTCTGTGCTCTAGCTATTCATCCTTCCTGCTCCCCAACCCCTGACAATGACTAATCTTTTTATTGTCTCCATAGTTTTGTTTTTTCCAAAGTATCATACAGTTGGAATCATACAGTACTTAGCCTTTTCAGATTCTATGCTTATTTTTCATAAATGACTGAAGTTATTATACTGAGTGGATATATTGTTATTTTTAACCATTCCTGGTTTGTTGGGTATTTGAATTAGTTCTGCTTTCACCATTAGGGGTAACATTGTACTGAACATCTATTTATATGTGTGTAAAGATAAAGTTTTGTAAAAATAAAATTTTCTCTATATTTAAAGTTATTTCCTGGTACTTTGCTGGTGGTCCAGTGGTTAAGACTTCAGCTTCCAATGCATAGAGTATGGGTTCAATCCCTGGTTGGAAAGCTGGCATCCTACATGCCTTGCAGCCAAAAAAACTAATATTGAAACGATATTGTAAAAAATTGATAGACTTTAAAAATAGTTCACATTTTAAAAAATCTTTTAAAATAAAAAAAATAAAGTTATTTCACCAAATTAGCTCTCAGGCTTCCCTGGCAACTCAGAGAGTAAACAATCTCCTGCAGTGCAGGAGACCTGGGTTTGATCCCTAGATCAGGAAGATCCCCTGGAGAAGGAAATGGCAACCCACTCTAATATACTTGCCTGGAGAATTCCATGGACAGAGGAACCTGACAGGCTATATATAGTACATGGGGTTGCAGAGAGTCAGACATGACTGAGCGACTAACACACACACACAAATTAACTCTCAGCAGGGAAATTATTGGGTAAAAAATCAGGAATATTATAGTTGTGGGTTTTTTTGGCCATGTGACTTGTGAGATCCTAGTTCCTTGACCAAGGATTGAACCCGGAACCTTGAGGCAGAAACACAGAGTCCTAACCAGTGGGAGCACCAGGGAATTCCCAATAGTTTCTTAATATGTATTGAAAGTTGCTGTTGCCAGCTTGGTTTTTAAAAGTGTTCAAAAGACTTTTTCTATCTGATATTAAAAGAATTTCCATTTTGCCACACCCTTACCATTTTGGGGCACTATATATATATATATATAAAACAAAGAATTTCCTGATTTGCTAGATTAAATTTTAATTAGTATTTCCTTATTAGTGAGTTTGAAGATTTTTTTCTTTATGATTTTTTTTCCCCTTTGAATTGTCTATTGCTGATATTTTGTCTACTGAGATCTTTGTTTATTTATTATTGACAAATGGTTTGTATTAGTACAGATTTCCTGTAAGTCATGAAAGTCAGTAATTATACAGTCAGTTTGCTGCTGGGGCTGTTCTGCTAGAGAGTATTTTTCAAAGAAGCAAATCTTTATGTCTTAATGTAAGATGCTAAAATACTTTTTATTTTTTGAGAGTTAACTTTTTTCAATCATATCTTTTAAAGGAACTCCCACCTTACCTTGGCAAACTGGATGTCTCGTTTCAAAAAGGTAATAATTTACATTTGCAGACAAAATGTTTACACTAGCGTATTCATTTATGAATATACTAAGTATTCATTTATGCTGAGAATTAGAAATACATGTGTATTAGCTTGTGATAAGAAATTCTAACAAAGTATTTCCCTCAGAGCTTGTTTGTGCGGGCCTACAAATCTGAAATCTTGATGGCTATCTAAACCTGAGGTGATGATGCTCAAAGATTTATTAATTGACTCATTCTATCTAAATTTAGTCCATTTAAGTCTGAATATTAATTATGAGAAACCCAGATATTATTAGGGATACTTTGTACTTCTAAAGCTTCAAATTCTAGAATATTACTATAACTTGTAGTAAATAATGCATCATAAATAAGAAGAATAAATGAAAAGAAATTAAAGGGACCCCTTTTGGATCCTTGCCAATTCTGTAATTTTTTCATTCTATGCTATTTAGCTACTCTGTATTTTAAATCAGTAAGAGAATTCCGTTAGTCGAATAAACCATCCATTTCCTAGTCATCTTCATTTTCTAATCAGCAACATAGTTTTTTTGTTTTTTTTCTTTTGAGGGAACATTTCTCACAAAGAGACATGTCCCTTGGTCCGATGTGTTAGTTAGGTTAGGATGGAAAATACACCACCTCGAGTTACAGGTGCTGAGCTCCCTTCCCTTGACAATTCAACCTCATGTTTTGAGTGATTCACATGTAACCCAGGAAAACTGCATGATGTTCTTGTCGTGGTCCTTGGTAAAGCTTGCATATAGTGGAAACCTTGGTTAAACATCAAGGATCTGTTGATATTAATTTTCAAAAAGACCTGTAACCACTCTGCGAGCTAAACTTAAAACTGGCCCATGTAATTTCTCCTTGACTGAGAAACCTTGCTGCTGTTGAGTCGCTAAGTCGTGTCCATGTCTTGGCGACCCCGTGAAAAAACCGTAGAGAGCCAAATAAAAATCAGAAACCTGTTTGCATGGGCTGTCTCTACAGGACGTTTCAATCTGATGTTTGTGGGGGTTTTTTTGACTTTGCCTTCCAAGTAAGTACCATTAAGCTTTTGCTGATTTGATGAAACACCTTTCATTCTTATAATCAGTAGTATTATAACTTGCAAAACTATTCAGTACTGGTGTCACTTGTGGAGTTGGAAAAGTTAACAAAATTTCCTAGGTGAAGTTTTTCCCAATTTTTCCTTTGTAAAGAGCAAAGCCAAAGCCTCACAAAGTTTATAAGATGCTTTGAGAAAAAAAACTTTTTCCCCTGGTTTTATATCTCCCAGATAAGCCATAAAACTTTTGAAAGGGAAGAGACCTTTGAAATCATCTAACCCTGTCTCCTCTTGTTACAGAAAGTAAACTGAGTCCTAAATGTGTAAATTTCCTTGATTAAGGTCATATAACAAGAAAATGACAGACCTGGGATTTGAAAGTAGGTCTTCTCCTTACCAGGCCAGTGTTCAGCTATCTGTACTGCCCCTCTAGCTACAGAGTCTCTTCAAATTGCATGTTAGTAGCAATGCCATGCACTCTCAAATTTAATGATTAATAATAATTAACCTTCATTCATATTGTATTCAAGTCAAGTAATTAGCTTAAAGGCTGTGCCTCAAACGTGAGGTTTATTGTATTTGAAACAGACTTCTATATAGTACGGTAAAAACTTGACTCAGATTAGGCAGAAAGTTGTTCAGTTTTTTTCCACTTCTATTCCCCAGCTTGGAACTGTTGTTTTCTTCAAATACTGGAGGAAGAGAGAGAAAGAAAAAGGGAGAGAGGGAATCAACCCTCAGAGGAATACAGATTTTAGGCCTCTTGCTTTCTTTGTGGTTCACAACTTAAGTGAAGAAGAATTAAGTTGTTTTCTTTTTAAAGGTGCTTTGATGTACCACGGGCTACATTAAAAAGTAAACTTAAAGGAGGAACATGAAAATGTGTTAACCAAAGGGTTTATTTTTATCTGTCCTGCTTACTTGAAAATAACCTCTTTTCCATGGAAAATACATAGTTTGGATCTAGATTTGACTGTAGTGATCTGTTTTAAAGTTGTAATATGCTTCAGAGCCACTTCATGTGTTCCATCAACCAGCACATCCTATGGCGTACTCTAAATCTAGCGTTCATGTTTTCATGTTATTTTCCTCTTTCCCTTTTGGTAGTATTTCCCCGCTAGTTATTCTCTGCCTGCAACAATACTGGGGACAAACTTCTTCCTCCAACTCTTTATTCTGTGCTGAGTCATCTAATTTAAATATCTTCACATCGCTTTAACACACATTATTCTCTTAGCATATTTTCATTTCCTTGTTTTCCCTCCCACTGTTTGATTCAATGTTATTCTTATTGTGTAATGTGTCATGTTGCTTTTCCAAAGTTAGTTTTGTCTGACCTTTTTCTGAGTTGATCCTTGCGTACGTCTTACTTAGGTGTGAATAGCTATTGTCTATGGTAATTCTTTGGACTGCGAAGTTAGTTTTTCCACATTGAATAAGCTAACAAAAATCTAACTAGAATGGCATTGCCTAAATAGAGCTTTCTATACCGATAGAAATGTTCTACATTTGTACTGTCTGATACAATAGTCAATAGCCACATGTGACTGTTGAGTACTTGAAATGTGGATAGTATATCCAAGTAACTGAATTTTAAATTTTATTTCATTTTATTTATTTATTTATTGCCACACCATGCAGCATGGGGGAATCTTAATTCCCCCACCAGGGGTGGAACCCACGCCCCCTGTAATAAAATAGCAGAATTCTTAACCACTGGGCCACCAAGGAAGTCCCCTATTTCATGTTAATTTAAATAGCCCCATGTGGCCAGTGGCTGCCATGTTGGACTGTAGAAATAGAACATCATGTTCAGACTTTTTAAATTATAAGTAACAGAGAACAGTTTACACTAGCTTAAGGGGGAAAGAAGACATTTATTTTTACCATTAACTCTCTAGGATATGGTGGACCTGATATTAAACATTATGGGATCCTTGGGCACATAAAAGGACTCTTTTGCTTTATTCCATTGTTCTGCTTCTCTTGGGTCTTACCTTCTTTTACTATAGATGAATTTTGCATATGTGGCAGGAATATGATCACTGACAACTATAAATTCACATCCTGCCTGCACTGTGACCCCTGCCTGTACTGTGACGTTACTTACGAAAGGTTCTAGAGAAAGGCACTGATTGACTAGACTTGGGTCATGTGTCCATCTTGAACTATTCATGTGGATAAAGGGACAGGCTATTACAATTGGCCAGACCTAGGTCATTTGCCTACTTGTGAGAGTGAGCAGGGAGAAGGTCCTGTTTTTGACAGCCCCATCAGAACAATTTGGAATACAGGAGATGCGATTTTCCTAAGGAAGGAAGGGTGCTGGTTAGATAAAAACTGTAGCTAAATTTTTGTGTATTAACATAATTAATTTTTATAGTTCAGTTCTATAGTCTGAGTCCAAACTCTTTGAGTTATCAATACTAGAAATCCATCTGAAAATAGTTTGAGAAGTTTTATAAGAATAATTCATTGTTTTCTCATAACTAAAAAGTCTAGAGGTTATATGCCTTCAAACAACTGATTCCAGTTGCTCAAGCAATAATTTGTCTGTCTCTTATTTTCATTTCTTTGTTCCATTCATCATGTTAGCTTTGTTCTCAAGTACATCTTCTTCTCATAAAAATGGACCTATGATAAGTTCAAAAGTACAGGATCCGTTTTAGGCAACATCTCCTGTGGTCCATATTTTTATGCTTAAAAGGTTATGTGCTTTCTCTGTGGCTGGGAGACAAAGCCAAATGATTAACAGTCCCATCAGAATGACCCAGAGCCCCATCTGAATTATAAGGCATAGTAAAAAGACAGTAAGAATAGAATACAGAACAGACAAAATGATAACATATTTTTTCTTTTTTTTAATATTCCCATTCCCATGCTGCTTTTCACACGAGCCTGTATTTTAAAAAGTTTTAGAACTTGTGGACTTAAATTACTTTTTTTGATATGCTTCTTTGTTTTGGTTTGCTGTACAATAAGGATGAAATCAAGGATCTTTCACAATTTTGTTGTTCACACGTTAGTGGAACTGAAGTTTCAGGTGGAAGGGAAAATTTTATAATAGTTATATAGTATGTCATATAAGTAATTAGAGCAAATGGAACCAAGGAAAGAATAAAATAGCCCTCAGAAAATAAAAAGAATGATTAAAAATCCTCTTCTGATTTTTCATGACTCAGTTTTCTTTGAATAACTGCATTGATATAATTCTTCAACCCATTACTGAATTAGCATGCATTTCCCTTGCCTAACCATATTATTTACAGTCTCTGAAAAATTCAATGATGATATCATAGCAAAACTTTTATTTATTTATTTTTTAATTTATTTATTTTAATTGGAGGCTAATTGCTTTACAATATTGTAAGCAAAACTTTAGAAACAATCTCAATATCCAGTAGTAAGGTCTAGGGAAGGAAAAATTTTTTTCTTCTATTCTTTTAGTTTCTCATCTGGACTCTGTAACAAAAAAGATTAACACAAGAAAAATAGAAGTTTATTAATGTGTATGTGTCATGGAGGAAGCTCAGGGCGTGGCTAGAACCTGAGTTTATATAGCATCTTAAACAAGCAAACAGAATCCAGTAAAGTTTCAGAAAAGTGACAAGACAAAGGAAAAAAGGACTTTGAATGTCTAGAGTGGCAAATGGTGGGAAGGTAAATATGGGGGGTTGATGGAAGATAAAAACTAGTCAGTAGTGTGTTATATAGAGTCCTTTGGTGCTGATAGGGGTCAAGGGTTGTTGTTTATTTTTGCAGTTTAGTCTTGTTTTTAGGCAGATGGGGGATGGGCACAGAGAACTTTTCTTGTACCTGCCTCTTCTCAATTGCCTTCACTTCAAAAATATTCCTTATGCCAAAATGGCATATTTTGGAGTGGCAGATTATGTTATCCTTTAAGGAGAATTGTTAAATTCTAAACCCTTAAATTTATTTAAAATAATAACTGCAGGATAGGATCCATGGATTCTATCAATGTAAATGTCATGGTTATGATATCATACTACAGTTTTGCTAAAGGTTACCATTGGGGAATCTGGATAAACCCTGTACAAATCTCTATATTGTTTCTTAAAACTACATTTGAATCTACAGTTATCTCAAAAAGTATAATGGAAAACTTTTAATCATAATCATAAATGCAGTATATTAACATTTATTTTTACTTATGTAAAAAGATCAAGTTAAAACCTGAAGGGACACAATATTATAGCATCATTAGATTATGTATAGGAAAAAAGAGAGAAAGTACATCAAATGGTCTCAATGGTTATATCTAAATTGTTGGATTTTTAGATGATTTTTCTTTTCTTCTTTATACTTTGCCTCATTTTGTAAGTGTCCTGTTATGACTGCATACTCTTAACTTTTCTAATCATAAAAAAAGTGATCTTTTAAAAATACATTTAAAAATCTTGCTTCCTCAGCATGCCAATGTGAAGGAAAAGATAACCGAATTCCATTACTGAAGGAAGTTTTTGAGGCCTTTCCTAACACTCCCATTAACATCGATATCAAAGTCAACAACAATTTGCTGATTAAGAAGGTACTTAAGGCATTGCCTCCTCTGAGCGTGTTGCAATCCGATTTCACAAACTAAATACAGCTAGAGTAGGTGCCTGCATAGATTGACAGTGTTCAAGGAAATGTGATACTCTGGGGACCAGCATTGTTTTAAATACTACCCTGGTAGAAGAGATCACTCGACTGTAGGAAAGCCTGTTTTCAGAGTGACTTGTCATGTCTCAGTCATGGATAAGCGTGAGCTCCTGTGAACCCCCATAGCTGTGGCATTTATGTAATTAATTACTTCTTCCAGTTTCACTTGTTTCATTTGTACTTAGTTTATGTCCAGTTACTAAACAGTTATATTCTATTAGATAAATCATACAGTGGTAAATGTAATTTCTTATACTTTATGAAATAATCTGAATTTAGTTATCAGTTCTTTCAAAATTTTATACTAAGCACTGGCAGATAGTTGTAATCCATTTTATAAGTAAAATCATGTAAGTGGATTTACAAATAGTCACATGAATAAAATTTTGAATTTTCACATGTAGGTTTCAGAATTGGTCAAGCAGTACAGACGAGAACATATAACAGTGTGGGGTAATGCCAGTTATGAAATTGTAGAAAAGTGCTACAAAGAGGTAAGCTTCAAAAATGATACAGAATGGAAAAAAAAAAGAAACAGAATGTTCTGTCTTTGTTGTTGTTGTATGTCTATAAAATTTAAGTAATTACAGTAATAATTTTTTTAAAATATCTTATTTCATAGCCTTGATACAAAGACAGATAGTATTGGATGGAAGCAGCTAACCAGAAGTTTACTAATAGAGATAATGAATTTATAGATAATAGATTTAGTAGATAATGGACCTTGCAATTAAGTTCACTATGATTGGACTGGCTCACAGAATTATTATTTTCACATGATAATATTAGTTGTTTGCCAACATGTTATTCATTTTATTAGGTATATATATATATGTCTTTTAGTGTCTGGTTTTTGTTAGATAATCAAAATTTTTTTGCATAATTTTGAATGAAGGAAAGTATTTAGTCCTTCAACTTTACAACTCAAGCTTTTCTTTACATTACTACCCAGATAGAGTTAAATCATGGTTATCAGGTTCAATTCAGTTCAGTTCAGTTCAGTCGCTCAGTTGTGTCTGAATCTTTGCGACCCCATGAACTACAGCCTGCCAGGCCTCCCTGTCCATCACCAACTCCCAGAGTTTACTCAAACTCATGTCCATTGAGTCGGTGATGCCATCTAACCATCTCATCCTCTGTCATCCCCTTCTCCTTCAATCTTTCCCAGCATTAGGGTCTTTTCAAACGAGTCAGCTCTTCGTATTAGGTGGCCAAAGTATTGGAGTTTCAGCTTCAACATCAGTCCTTCCAATGAATATTCAGGACTGATTTCCTTTAGGATGGACAGTATGAAAAGATTAACAGGTAGCATATTGAATTACAGCCATCCACAAATTGAAATGTTTCTGTTTGAAGAAAATATATATGTAAAAATTGGATATATTTTGAAATGGTACACTAAGCCTCTACAAGCAAATTTAGCTCATAGTCAGCTAAGAGGATTTGAAATGCAAAGAGTTAAAAAATCTTAAGCATTGAAGATTCTCTTTCAGAATACAAGTGATGATGCAGAAGGAATATCATGACACAAGTTGCATTCTAAAATACAAAGAATTCTTTTGAAAAGACCTTTCTTCCTGGCAAAGAAGGAAAGCATAGATCCAAAATTAGCACCACTATAATTAAAAGTACAATAAAAGTAATGAGGCTCTAATTAAGGCAAGTGATAAGTTTTATTTATCTGTGTACAAAAGGACAGAACAGAATAATCAATGGGCTGGTGACCTCAGATCCCCAAGAATATAGAACTGAGACAAAAGCAAGATAATATACTGGAGGCTTCATGACCTGCTGATCTTCGTGTGTGTGTGTTAGTTGCCTGGTCGTATCTGACTCTTTGCGACTCTATGGACTGTTAACTGGCCAGGCTCCTCTGTCCATGGGTTTCTCAAGGCAAGAATACTGGAGTGGGTTGCTGTTGCCTTCAGGGGATCTTCCCGACCGAGGGATTGAACCTGGGTCTCCTGTATGGCAGACAGATTCTTTACCATCTGAGCCACCAAGGAAGCCCCTTTTTACATCATTCAATTTTTTTTTTCAAATTAAAAATAGTGATAATAGCAAATGCTGGAGAAATGAGGAGAAACTGATCTCACATGCATTGCTGGTGGGAATGTAAAATAAAATAGCCACTCTTAATTAAATGAGTAGTTTCTTAGAAAACCAAACATACATTTAGCATATTAATCAGCAATCTTACTCTTGGGCATTTATCTCAGTAAAGTGAAAACAGTGCACATAAATTAATTATTCACTTAATTAAGGAGGTAGCAGGAGGGAGTTCTCATGATGGAGCAGTTCTGTGTCTTGACTGGGGGTGATTACACATACCTATACATGGATTACAGCTGCATCTAACTATACACATGCACAAATGAACACAAGTTTTAAAAACGGTGAAAACTGAGTAAAGTCGACAGTCTAACAGTAACATATCACTGTCAATTCCTGGTTTTGATACATCTGGTTACAGATGGGGCAGCTGCGTTAAGAATAAATGGGACTCTAGTATATTCTTACAACTTCCTGTGAGTTTATAATTATTTCAAAATAACATGTTCACTTTTGGCTGAGAATCACAGAACGTTCCCCTTGATTCACGTGTTTTTCTAGACATCTCTGGCCTTCTGTCATTTTAGAATGTAAAAACTCCCAAGATTTCAGCAGTAATTTTCAAACACCTAAGGAAGAATGTCTCAACAGTAATTGTCATTTGTGCTATGAACTTGCTTATATAATTCATGCATCTTTTATAATTCTTAAATTATGATGTATAAGAATTTCATATTAGCTCTTTACTTCCCAGATGCTAGAAGCTAGAAATATAAAAGAATGGGAGGAGGGTCGAATGAATGGGGAGATTGGGACTGACATATATATGCTACTATGTATAAGATAGGTAACTAAGAAGAACCTACTCTACTGCACAGGAACTCTGCTCAGTGCTCTGTGATGACCTAAATGGGAAAGAAATCTAAAAAAGAGGGGACGGAGATTTCCCTGGTGGTAGTCCAGAGGCTGGGACACCATGCTCCCACTGCAGGGGGTCTGGCTTTAGTCTCTGGTCAGAGAACTAGATCCCGCATGCCACAAAAAACATTCCCTGTATCGCAGCTAAGTAGCCAATAAATAGGTCTATATTTTTAAGTGACTGAATGTTAAATAAAATATGTTTTTGCATGATTTTTTCAATATATTACTTTTATACAGAAACATTCAAATGTATTAAAATTTTTATTTGTTTTAAAGATAGACATGGGGGATCTGGGTGAGGGGAATATGGGGATTTGTTTAGTATAGAGTTTCAGTTTTGCGAGATGAAAATGTGAATATTTGCAACACTATTAACATATATCTGTATCATATCCTATTTAAAATATATATATGTATGTATAGTTATTGAATATGTAGAAGGTTACTAAATATTTCATATCATTATTTCTTCATCTTGTTCCATTAAATTTGATATGTTTAATCTCTGGTGAGAAAGACTACCTCCGACAGACAGGACTGGTGCTGCAGAAGCAGAAAGTGGAGAATGAATGGGGAAACTTGAGTATCGGTTTATACTATAGGACTCCAGGATAGATCCTGACCCGTTTGCCAAGGACCAGTCATTTCTAAGTGTAGTGTGTTTGGAAGTGGATGTTGATGATTTAGGGAATACTTTAAACAGATGTCAAGATACAGTGTTGGGGAATCTTGAAGGTTGTGAAATAATCCTCTTGATATTGTTTGTGTCTTTTAGAATTCGGAAATTCCTATACTCTTCAGTTTACAACGTGTTCTGCTCATTCTTGGCCTGTTCTTCACTGGCCTCTTGCCCTTTGTGCCCATTCGAGAACAGTTTTTTGAAATCCCAATGCCTTCTATCATATTAAAGTAAGTGATTACCCTGTTTTCCTCAGTTAGCGATTACTGGAAAACTAAGACAAAGACTTAGAAAGATTGAAGGCGGGAGGAGAAGGGGACAACAGAGGATGAGATGGTTGGATGGCATCACCGACTCTGTCCATCACCAACTCCCAGAGCTTGCTCCAACTCGTGTCGATTGAGTCAGTGATGCCAATCAACCATCTCATCCTCTGTCGTCCCCTTCTCCTCCTGCCTTCAACCTTTCCCAGCATCAGGGTCTTTTCAAATGAGTTAGTTCGTCTCATCAGGTGGCCAAAGTATTGGAGCTTCAGCTTCAGCATCAGTCCTTCCAATGAATATTCAGGACTGATTTCCTTTAGATTGACTGATTTAATCTCCTCGTAGTCCAAGGGATTCTCGGATACTCATATTTGTGTAACTTCTCTACTGGGTATAAAGCCTTGTTTTTCGCACACTAATTTACTGTTACACAAAGATTAAAATGTATAAAACACTTGCAGCATTGCCTGGCAAATAATAAGCACTCAATAAATGATAGGTTTTATCATTAAATTATCATTTTTATGTAACAAAGATCTTCATCTCACAATCCCACACCCTTAGAATGTCATTCCTAGCTGTAAATTTCCCTGGAGCTTCTGGAGAGATCATTTAAATGTGGTTTCACCTGCATGAGAACTTTTTTCATCCCCACAGAACTATAAAAAATCAAGCTGAACATACAGCAATCATTAGAAAATATCAGTAAGAAAAAGAAGTTGGTCAGCACTCTTGTACTCAGCATCTGTGTTTCACGCTTGTCTTCCAGTTTGAGTTTGTTAGTTATGTGTGTGCTTATTTTATCTATTCCCAGTTATAATAGTGTTTATTAGCAATTTCTGTAGCTGTTTCTCAGACAAAACAACAGAAATCGCTTCTTGTCTGCAAATAAACTATTTTCATTTGCTAAATTAAAATAATTCCTAGCCATTTATCCCTAAAGTACTTCACTTTCCTCTGGTCTAGAATGGACTGCTGTGCTCTCGAAATCATCTCCAGGTGTTCCTTTTAGAAGGAAATGTTATTAAATTACAGATGTGAACAGATTTCATAGAACTAATTTTTTTTCTTTAAAAAGTGATTATGGATTAAGACACTGGTAGAATATTGTGTTTGTATTTTTTTTTAATGAAAGAGAGTGGATACTTCCTAAGGCAATGTAATAGTTTGTGTTTAATGAGGTAATTAATGTTTCAAGTTTTTAAATTCTTGGGATTCCTGAAAATGCAATTGGGACTTTCTACCTCGGGTAGAGTTAGGAGAATAGAAGGAGTTTATTTAGAAAGCTTCAAATAAAAACTGAATTCAGAGAAAAAGAGAAAAAATTAAGGACTCCCTTGGTGGTCCAGGAATTAAGAATCCATCTGCCAAGGCAGGGGACATGGATTTGATCACTGGTGGGGGAAGATTCCACATTCCGAGGAGCAGCTAAGCCCATGAACCACAACTGCTGGGCCCACATGTCATAACTGCTGAAGCCCTGCGCTCTGCAACAAGAGAAGCCACCGCAGTGAGAAGCCTGTGCACCGCAACTAGAGCGTAGTCCCTGCTTGCGACAACTGGAGAAAGCCTGTGCATAGCAGTGAGGACCCAGCACAGCCAAAAATTTAGACAAATTAAAAAATAAATAATACTCTGGTTTCTCTTCAGATGGAATAAATCTTTCGCCTTTTAAAAAATAAATAATAAAATAAATTTTTTTTAAATGAATTTAAGTGTGGAGACTCAGGGTAATCCTAAGAGTGTAGACAAGAGGACTTAGAAAGGAAACAAGAATCAAGATCTGGGGAGAATGAAAATCACTGTGCATATGTTCTCCTCTAGGCAAAACACTCTCCAACATAAATCACAGCAGGATCCTCTATGACCCACCTCCCAGAATATTGGAAATAAAAGCAAAAATAAACAAATGGGACCTAATGAAACTTAAAAGTTTTTTGCACAACAAAGGAAACTATAAGCAAGGTGAAAAGACAGCCCTCAGATTGGGAGAAAATAATAGCAAACGAAGAAACAGACAAAGGATTAATCTCAAAAATATACAAGCAACTCCTGCAGCTCAATTCCAGAAAAATAAATGACCCAATCAAAAAATGGGCCAAAGAACTAGACAGACATTTCTCCAAAGAAGACATACAGATGGCTAACAAACACATGAAAAGATGCTCAACATCACTCATTATCAGAGAAATGCAAATCAAAACCACAATGAGGTACCATTACACGCCAGTCAGGATGGCTGCTATCCAAAAGTCTACAAGCAATAAATGCTGGAGAGGGTGTGGAGAAAAGGGAACCCTCTTACACTGTTGGTGGGAATGCAAACTAGTAGCCGCTATGGAGAACAGTGTGAAGATTCCTTAAAAACTGGAAATAGAACTGCCATATGACCCAGCAATCCCACTTCCAGGCATACACACTGAGGAAACCAGATCTGAAAGAGACACGTGCACCCCAATGTTCATCGCAGCACTGTTTATAATTGCCAGGACGTGGAAGCAACCTAGATGCCCAACAGCAGACGAATGGATGAGGAAGCTGTGGTACATATACACAATGGAATATTACTCAGCCGTTAAAAAGAATTCATTTGAATCAGTTCTAATGAGATGGATGAAACTGGAGCCCATTATACAGAGTGAAGTAAGCCAGAAAGATAAAGAACATTACAGCATACTAACACATATATATGGGATTTATAAAGATGGTAATGACACCCTATATGCAAAACAGAAAAAGAGACACGGATGTATAGAACAGACTTTTGGACTCTGTGGGAGAAGGCGAGGGTGGGATGTTTCAAGAGAACAGCATCGAAACATGTATATTATCTAGGGTGAAACAGATCACCAGCCCAGGTTGGATGCATGAGACAAGTACTCGGGCCTGGTGCACTGGGAAGACCCAGAGGGAGCGGGTAGAGAGGGAGGTGGGAGGGGGGACTGGGATGGGGAATACATGTAAATCCATGGCTGATTTATGTCAATGTATGACAAAACCCACTACAATATTGTAAAGTAATTAGCCTCCAACTAATAAAAATAAATGAAAAAAAAAATCACTGTGCAGTTTAACTGAAAGAAGCTGAGCAATCTTCACAGTAGAGAGACTAACTAGTCAGAGAAGTCTCTGGGCATAGCCCAAAGTTAATGATACAGGTGGTGCTCTCAACATCAAAGAGGTTGAAGGAACTCATTGTAGGTCTGAAAGTCAAGTGTACTCTTTCAGTAGGAAAGATGTCTTAAAAGGATGGGCCTAGGTCTTCAAATATTGAAAGTGAAAGGATCCCTCTGGGTCTTTGTCTCATGCATCCAACCTGGGCTGGTGATCTGTTTCACCATAGATAATACACATGTTTCAATGCTGCAGAGAGGGAGGTGGGAGGGGGGATCGGGATGGGGAATACATGTAACTCCATGGCTGATTCGTGTGAGTGTATGACAAAACCCACTGCAGTATTGTGGAGTGGTTAGCTTCCAACTAGTGAAAATAAATGAAAAAAATAAATAAAACTGATGAACCGTTATAATGAACAAAGACCTACTGTATAGCACATGGAACTCTGCTGAATGTTTTAAGGCAGCCTGGATGGGAGAGGAGTTTGGGAGAAAATGGATAATATATCAATATATGTATGGCCGAGTCCCTTCAGTGTTCATCTGAAACTATCACAACATTGTTAATCGGCTGTACCCCATTATAAAATAAAATGTTTTAAGAAAAATAAAACTGATAAACCTTTAAAACATAAAAAAAAAGTGAAAGGAAAAAATGTTTTTAGGGTTTTCTTTCTAATCCCATTTTTACCCTAAATATCTTTTAATACATAGTAAAGTTTGCTGTGTGTTTACATCTACTGCATACAAAATTACAGCAAACAAGGCAAGAGAAAGAGGCCTCACCAAAAAAGAAAGAAACATGGGTTCTGGGTACTCAGGATCTTTAGAATGATAACTTTTAAATTTTAAACTTTGAAGAGTGTAGCAAGAAGTTAGCTTGAAATCATGAAAATAGAGAATCCAAATGGGCTTTGCTCTAATTTAATTTTGTCCTTTCCCAAATTTTAAGATAGGACACTGAAAGATGAACTCTCCAGGTCGGTAGGTACCCAATATGCCACTGGAGATCAGTGGAGAAATAACTCCAGAAAGAATGAAGAGACGGAGCCAAAGCAAAAACAACACCCAGTTGTGGATGTGACTGGTGATGGAAGCAAGGTCTGATGCTGTAAAGAGCAATATTGCATAGGAACCTGGAATGTTAGGTCCATGAATCAAGGCAAATTGGAAGTGGTCAAACAGGAGATGGCAAGAGTGAACTTCGACATTTTAGGACTCATTGAACTAAAATGAACTGAATGGGTGACTTTAACTCAGATGCGGCCATGAAATTAAAAGATGCTTGCTCCTTAGAAGAAAAGTTATGACCAATCTAGACAGTATATTAAAAATCAGAGACATTACTTTATCAACAAAAGTCCGTCTAGTCAAGGCTATGGTTTTTCCAGTGGTCATGTATGGATGTGAGAGTTGGACTATAAAGAAAGCTGAGCGCAGAAGAATTGATACTTTTGAACTGTGGTGTTGGAGAAGACTCTTGAGAGTCCCTTGGACTGCAAGATCGACCAGTCCATCCTAAAGGAGATCAGTCCTGGGTGTTCATTGGAAGGACTGATGTTGAAGCTGAAACTCCAGTCCTTTAGCCACCTGATGCGAAGAGCTGACTCTTTGGAAAAGACCCTGATGCTGGGAAAGATTGAAGGCGTGAGGAGAAGAGGGCGACGGAGGATGAGATGGTTGGATGGCATCACCAGCTCGATGGACATGAGTTTGAGTAAACTCCAGGAGTTGGTGATGGACAGGGAAGCCTGGAGTGCCACAGTCCATGGGGTCGCAGAGTCAGACACGACTAAGCCACTGAACTGAACTGAACTCAACTGAGGCATATACCAAGTACAATCAAGACAATGATTTTTTTCTTGAACTTGTTTTATCACACTGATATATTCCTGTGATTCTAATTTAAATTTTATTTTCCCTCAGGCTGAAAGAACCACACACCATGTCCAGAAGTCAGAAGTTTCTCATCTGGCTTTCTGATATGTAAGAATTTTAGTTTCTTGATATACAGATTATTGTTTTAACTCTTAAATATGATGCTTATAATCTAGAGCAGACTTTCTACGTGTAATTTGTAACAATGATGAGTTGAACATTGACTATACAAATGGATGTGTATGAATCATTTAGAACTAGCTTAATTACTAGTCACAAAATCTTAAGAGGAATTGGGAGATAATCTCGTCAAACTCAGGAGAAAACTGAGCACTTGGCTATGCAAAGTTAAATGATTTACTTGGCGTGTCAGTAGCAGACCTGGGATATATACCCATCCCCTGCCACTTACTCACTGTTTCCACTAGCCTGCAGTAAAAAACATGGTGAAAAGAAGTGTGTAAAGCAGTAAAACATGTGTAAAACATATGTAAGAGTGTACATTGACTAATGGCACATATCTAAGGAAAATCTACACTGAGACTTAACAGCAGAGTGGAAGCCCCACCTGTACAGTGGGCATCTACCTTAGAGAAAATGCCTTAAATTCTAAGACATGTTGAGTGTAATTTTAGGTAAAACCTACCTCTATTTTGCTTTAAAATGGAATCTTGAAAAAAAATAAAATGGAACCTTGGGGACTTCCCTGATGCCAATGGTCCACTGGCTAAGACTCCATGCTCCATTGCAACACAGAGGGAATGGGTTCATGTCTGGTCAGGGAACTAGATCCCACATGCCGCAACTAAGAGTTCACAACTGAAAAAAAAAAATCCTCATTTCTTCAAATGCAGAAAAGATCAGAAAGGTGGGCCTTTATCTACTAGCCTTTGGGTTTTAAGAATATCAGAGTCCCTTTGATTTTTGAAGCTTATTTGTGAACATGTGCTGTGAGTGGTAAATTTCATAAAGTACTTAGTACACACACACACAAAAAAAAATCCTACATGCCACAACTAAGACCTAACACAGCCAAAGAAAGAAAGAAAAGAAAACCTTAAATGCCTGGTATGCTTAAATAATAGTCGTAAATCACAACCTATTTTCCTTAGCTCCTGTTTCAGAGTTTGAAAACTAGTTTTGTCTTTTCTCTGTGCCACAGGGTTTATTCTTTTTTTGTTTTATTCCTGATGTCATTTGTAGTTTTTAAGGATGCTTTTTTTTTTTTTTTGGCCCTGCCACATGGCTTGCAGGATCTTAGTTCCCCAACCAGGGATTGAACTTATGCCCCCTAACCACTGGACCACCAGGAAATTCCCAAGGATGCATTTTAGCTGCTGTTAAATGCATATGATTTTTCATTTCTGCTAGTTAATCATTCTAATAGACTAAACAGAACAGAAATAATATGTATAACTTCAGTACAAAAAGCTTCCATCTTGCTCAAGTGACTTGTATTCTAAAAGTTCACTTTTTAAGTTATTTGGAACTGAAAAAAAAACTTTTTTTTCTTTATAAAAGATTGTGTAATTAATGAACATTACATTTCTAAGATAACTCGCAAAAGATTAATTCATTTTGTAAATGGATTGTGACATTATAGAATTTGACCCAAGTTCACTGCCTTATTTTGATTTGGAAAGTTAGGAACACAGACTCCCTAGTTCTTTCTCACTCTCAGTATGGCACCAGCAGGAAAGGTGAGAAAGCCTCTACTGAGCTGCTTTAGGAAGAATGGCAGCGAAGAGTAGAAAGGAGATCCAGTAGTTAAGATATAAACGCATCCACAACAGCTATTACTGCTTGAGGCCGTCCCTTGCTTATATCGCTGAAACATCAGGATTAAATATAAGTTCAGTTCAGTTGCTCAGTTGTGTCTGACTCTTTGCAACCCCAGAACTGCAGCACGCCAGGCCTCCCTGTCCATCACCAACTCCCAGAGTTTACTCAAACTCATGTCCATCGAGTCGGTGATGCCATCCAACCATCTCATCCTCTGTCGTCCCCTTCTCCTCCCGCCCTCAATCTTTCCCAGCATCAGTCTTTTCCAGTGAGTCAGCTCTTGGCATCAGGTGGCCAAAGGACTGGAGTTTCAGCTTCAAAATTAGTCCTACCAGTGAACACCCAGGATTGATCTCCTCTAGGATGGACTGGTTGGATCTCCTTACATTCCAAGGGACTCTCAAAAGTCTTCTCCAACACCACAATTCTTCTGTGCTCAGCTTTCTTTATAGTCCAACTCTCACATCCATACATGACTACTGGAAAAACCACAGCCTTGACTAGACAGACCTTTGTTGGCAAAGTAATGTCTCTGCTTTTTAATATGCTGTCTAGGTTGGTCATAACTTTCCTTCCAAGGAGTAAGCTTCTTTTAATTTCATGGCTGCAGTCACCATCTGCAGTGATTTTGGAGCTCAAAAAAATAAAGTCTGCTACTGTTTCCCCATCTTTTTGCCATGAAGTGATGGGACCAGATGCCATGATCTTAGTTTTCTGAATGTTGAACTTTAAGCCAACTTTTTCACTCTCCTCTTTCACTTTCATCAAGAGGCTCTTTAGTTCTTCTTCACTTTCTGCCATAAGGATAGTGTCATCTGCGTATCTGAGGTTATTGATATTTCTCCCGGCAATCTTGATTCCAGCTTGTGTTTCCTCCAGCCCAGCGTTTCTCATGATGTACTCTTCATGGAAGTTAAATAAGAAGGGTGACAGTATACAGCCTTGACATACTCCTTTTCCTGTTTGGAACCAGTCTGTTGTTCCATGTCCAGTTCTGACTGTTGCTTCCTGACCTGCATATAGGTTTCTCGAGAGGCAGGTCAGGTGGTCTGGTATTCCCATCTCTTGAAGAATTTTCCACAGTTTATTGTGATCCACACAGTTGAAGGCTTTGGCATAGTCAATAAAGCAGAAATAGATGTTTTTCTGGAACTCTCTCGCTTTTTCAATGATCCAGCAGATGTTGGCAATTTGATCTCTGGTTATTCTGCCTTTTCTAAAACCAGCTTGAACATCTGAAGTTCAAGGTTCATGTATTGCTGAAGCCTGGCTTGGAGAATTTTGAGCCTTACTTACTTACATGTGAGATGAGTGCAATTGTGCGGTAGTTTGAGCATTCTTTGGCATTGCCTTCTCTTTAGGATTGGAATGAAAACTGACCTGTTCCAGTCCTGTCTTCACTGCTGAGTTTTCCAAATTTGCTGGCATATTGAGTGCAGCACTTTCACAGCATCATCTTCCAGGATTTGAAATAGCTCAACTGGAATTCCATCACCTCCACTAGCTTTGTTTGTAGTGATGCTTCCTAAGGCTCACTTGACTTCAGATTCCAGGATGTCTAGCTCTAGGTGAGTGATCACACCATCGTGATCATCTGGGTCGTGAAGATCTTTTTTGTACAGTTCTTCTGTGTATCCTTGCCACCTCTTCTTAATATCTTCTGCTTCTGTTAGGTCCATACCATTTCTGTCCTTTATTGAGCCCATCTTTGCATGAAATGTTCCCTTGATATCTCTAATTTTCTTGAAGAGATCTCTAGTCTTTCCCATTCTATCGTTTTCCTCTGTTTCTTTGCATTGATCACTGAGGAAGGCTTTCTTATCTCTCCTTGCTCTTCTTTAGAACTCTGCATTCAAATGGGAATATCTTTCCTTTTCTCCTTTGCTTTTCGGTTCCCTTCTTTTCCCAGCTATTTGTAAGGCCTCCTCAGATAGCCATTTTGCTTTTTTGCATTTCTTTTTCTTGAGGATGGTCTTGATTCCTGTCTCCTGTACAATGTCACGAACCTCCGTCCATAGTTCATCAGGCACTCTGTCTGTCAGATCTAGTCCCTTAAATCTGTTTCTCACTTCCAATGTATAGTCGTAAGGGATTTGATATAGGTCATACCTGATTGGTGTAGTGGTTTTCTCCACTTTCTTTGATTTCAGTCTGAATTTGGCAATAAGGAGTTCATGATCTGAGCCACGGTCAGCTCCCAGTCTTGTTTTTGCTGACTATATAGAGCTTCTGCATCTTCAGCTGTAAAGAATATGATCAGTCTGATTTTGGTGTCGACCATCTGGTGATGTCCTTGTGTAGAGTCTTCTCTTGTGCTGTTGGAAGAGGGTGTTTGCTATGACCAGTGCATTCTCTTGACATAACTCTATTAGCCTTTGCCCTGCTTCATTCTGTACTCCAAGGCCAAATTTGCTTGTTATTCCAGGTGTTTCTTGACTTCCTACTTTTGCATTCCAGCCCCCTATAATGAAAAAGACATCTTTTTTGGATGTTAGTTCTAGAAGGTCTTGTAGGTCTTCATAGAACTGTTCAACTTCAGCTTCTTCAGCTTTACTGGTCAGGGTATAGACTTGAATTACCGTGATATTGAATGGTTTGCCTTGGAAACGAACAGAGATCATTCTGTCATTTTTGAGATTTCACCCAAGTACTGCATTTCAGACTCTTGTTGACCATGATGGCTACTACATTTCTTCTAAAGGATTCCTGCCCACAGTAGTAGATGTAATGGTCATCTGAGTTAAATTCACCCATTCCAGTCCATTTTAGTTTCCTGATTCCTAGAATGTTGATGTTCACTCTTGCCATCTCCTGTTTGACCACTTCCAATTTGCCTTGATTCATGGATCTAACATTCCAAGTTCCTATGCAATATTGCTCTTTACAGCATTGAACCTTACTTCTATCACCAGTCCCATCCACAACTGGGTATTGTTTTTGCTTTGGCTGCATCCCTTCATTCTTTCTGGAGCTATTTCTCCACTGATATCCAGTAGCATAGTGGGCAGCTACTGACCTGGGGAGTTCATCTTTCAGTGTCCTATCTTTTTGCCTTTTCATGCTGTTCATGGGGTTCTCAAGGCAAGAATACTGAAGTGGTTTCCCATTCCCTTCTCCAGTGGACCACATTCTGTCAGACCTCTCCACCATAGGGATTAGAAGCTCTAAACTGACTGAATTAGAATTGAGGATTAATTTTAGTCCTTCCTTAGGACTAAGGAGTACCTAAATCTTTCATGCTTTTCTTTTCTAGTTTACTAATGAGAAAAGCTTTGTTTGACCACCTCACTGCCCGAGGCATTCAGGTAAGTTTTTGTAATGATGCATTTTAGAAAGAGCATAGTTTACCAGTTCAACACAAGTTTAAAGGGCAGTAACCCACTACAATATTGTAAAGTAATTAGCCTCCAACTAATAAAAATAATTGGGAAAAATAAATAAATAAAATAAAAGTAAATATTGTTGTTTAGCCAAAAAACAAAAAAAAATTTAAAAATAAAAAATAAATGTGCTAAATTTTCCCAGTGAACATGGAGAAAGTGCTGGAGGGTATGTGGGAGATTTTAGGAGCAGAGAAAAGGTATGAACTTGCAATTAACGGTGATGGTCAAACTTTTTCTGTTAAAGTCCAGATGGTAAATAGTGTCACACATGTGGGCCATGCAGTCTCTGTTACAACTTCTCAACTCTGTCATTTTATTGCAAAAGTGACCATAGATAATAAAATGAATAGGTATGTAAAAAAAAAATAAAAGGGAAGTAACTTCTAACTGACTTAATTTGTTCGTAACTCTGCTGCTTTTACTGGTTCTCATATATGTAGCCTACCAGGCTCCTCTGTCCATGGGGTTCTCCAGGCAAGAATACTGGAGTGGGTTTCTATTTCCTTCTCCAGTTTTACTTTCACTTTCACTATATGAAGACCTTAAGCTCTGCCTTATAGTTAGCAAGATAGTATTGGTTTTTCAGTAGCTAGAGTTCACCTATAGGTAGGTGAGAAGAACTGAAGCCAGAGGATGGGATAGTCATATTTAGTGAGCAAAGTGGAATTTGTTTAAAGGGCTCAATGATTTCTTAAAATTGCAGAGTATTTTGTTTTTGGCTTTTATTTGCTGCTGCTGCTTCCTTCCTTGTTTCTTTCTTTCTTTTTTTTTTTGCAGCATTTATTCTGAGGCCATAAGCTATTTGTTTCTTCAATTTTTTTCCCGGGTATCTTTTTCTTCTGTACAAGCTCCTCTTCTGGTTTAGGAACGATCATCTGTTCTTTTTCAGTAAGGATCATCTCAGTGGGGCAGGGAGAGCTCATGTCTGGGTTGATCTGACGATGACCTCTGTAAGTCCTACCCACACCTTGGGAGCCTTGCTCACCAGGATGTGCTCAGTGACCAGAGAATCTACATCTAGAATCTGCATCTAAGCCTTTAAGTTCAGCATGACTCTGCATTTTTGAGCATGTGCAGTAAAAATTCAGCACTCTTTTTGGGCCACCGACCCAGTGTCCAGCCCCACTGTCTGGCCTGTGCATACCTAGCACCTCCACCATTTTAATGATGGAATGGCACGCATGTTGCTTCTGTAAAGTGACATCCTTCAAATACTTGGTGGTTTTTCAGATATGCATACCCTTAATGGCCTGGGCAGTTTCACAAGTGTTCTTAAAGGGAGAGTGAAGATTTGAACCTCTTGATTTACATGGTTTTGTGGAGTTTTCTGGGTTAAGTGAATAGCAGACCATTTTTAGAGGTCACCTCAGACCACTTACCAGAAAAACTTTAAATTGCAGGTTATTAAAAGGTTGTTTCTAAGTGTACTGAGATTGTAATGGATGCATGCTAACATAATTTGCTGTTATATTTCTTCTCATATGTCTCATTTTTCTAATTTTCAGGTGTACATTTGGGTATTAAATGAAGAGCAGGAATACAAAAGAGCCTTTGATTTGGGAGCAACTGGGGTGATGACAGACTATCCAACAAAGCTTAAGGATTTTTTACATAATTTTTCAGAATAGAGAAGGAGGTAGTCAGAAGCATTCAAAGAAAACATGAAAAGACCTAAGAAAAAATTTTTTCATTATTTCCCTAAGCCATTTCCAGAATGGTAAAAGGTTTAATCAGTTAAGTGTTTATTACCTCATTTTTAAGCCTGTCTGAGAATGTAGAAACTGTATATTGTATATTTATTTTAAACAATATTGCATATTTTACATTTGTAAATAGTTTGTTTAGAAAGATAATTGTTTATGAGATGTAAGTAGAAGATTATTGATCAAGTATTTGATGCAGTATTCTACTATCATAAGTAATTCTGAAATCAAAGGCTGTTGGATAAATTTGACATTAGCCTTCACTGGAATAAGATCAACTAATTAGTAAGACAGAATTAATGAAGGTCATTACAGCTATTCAGGTTGTCTCATTATTTCTAGGTACACCTTAGTTAAAGGGGAAAAATATTGTGGAAAGAGAGCTTGGGAATCAGTGATGTAACTATCTGACAAGTTGTACATTGTTAACAGAGGCAGACTCAAAGAAATAACTGAAAGTTTGTTACATGATCAGAAATAAAATCTGTAGACTGAATTCGAATTTCTTGGTTGCTGTCATCAATAGGGACATTCTGTTTGGAGTCTTTTTCAGGTGTGTTAACAGTTGCTGCTGTATTTCTTTTTTTTTGGTAAAAATTAAAACTGGACTTAATCATTGTGAATTAAGACAAGATGCTAACAGTCACATTTTTGTTTCCTCTAATGAAATGTACATTTTCCATTGTTAGCAATGACCAACTGTCTGAGCCTACATCTAGATTTTAAATAACATCTTGAGTCCTAATAATCATAACAAACTGATGAAAGTGCATATCATTGTGTCTAATACTTATAAACCATCTGCTCCTGATCTTTAAGAACTTATTCTTCTGAGTATTAAGTGGGAACAGAATTTCCCAAAGCATTAGGCATCACTTTCTCAGATTTTCTGATGTGACTTCATGTAAATCTGTTTATCATCTTTCTGACTTATTTTCATGATCTCTTTGGGAGGTAGATATATCCTGGAACAATAAGCATCTTGGACCTAGATTACACCTCCTATTTGGACTTTGCCAGCTAACAGTTAATGAAGGCTAATCATACTCTCCCACCTATCCCTGGATGACATAAGTAACATTTGTTTTTTTGTTTAAACTGAAATAAAAATTTCAAGAACAAAAGAATTCATTGGTGTTTTCTTTTCTGCCATTGTAATTCAAAATATGCTTTATAATTTTTTTCCAGAATTTAATGAGGTGTAAATTGATAATATAGGTAAACACACCTGAGACTTCTCTCTCATATAAGAAAAATGAAATGCACTTTTATGGTAAATTGCCTCTTGGCATTTGAATAAATAACTTGGGCAGGTAATCCATTAAATCTGTCATTTTCACTTTCACTTATATAACTTATGATTATAGTTGCTAGAGATGCTTTTGATCGTCATTGATATTCTTTTTTACCGTTTCCCCATTCCAAATTTGCTTTGTTGTGGTTCAGTTATGATGCGGTTCATATTATAGGACCAGCATATATTTTGTGTCAATCAGTAAAAGAGAAAGTACCCACTATAGTAAAGATGTTTAGAAAATCATGTTTTAAAAGTTTGATGATTTTATAGTCAAGGTGACTTTCAATTCACTTAATAAAAGTATAGTATCTATAACAACAGAGTTCACATTTGTCATAAGATAACATCTGAATATTGCTTTTCTGATGGGGCATCACATTTTAAAAGATGTTAAATATCTTTTCATAATGAGACATGCTGCTAGGCATGGCACACAGCATGATGGGAAGGCTAGAGAAGTGGTCAAAAGATGTAATTAGGAAAAAAAAAGATGTAATTAGATCCTTTTGCTGGGATAAAGGTAGCACTGGATTTGATACACCCTGCTATAGGTCTAGTCCAGCGTACCAATAGCATTCTAAATACATGCCGGTGGACAACAGTTGGCAGGTTGGTTTGAGGGAATTTTAATTTGAAGTAGCAAGAGCTTCTCTGTAGGACTAGGTCTGAGGCATGTTATCAGGTAAAACAGGTCGCAAGTTAGCAGAACTAGGATCCAGAGCTTGGGAAGAAACCTCACTTAATAGAACTGAAAGGACAGAGGATAACATTGGACTAATTACGGTGTTAAGTTGGTACTGAGTACCAGAGCTGTTCAACCTCTCCTTTCTGGCCAGGACAGGTTCTAAAAATTGGGGTGGGGCCCTGGCTATAGGTGGCCGTCTAGTCACCACAACTGCAGAGATAAAATCACTGCAGTGGGTTAGGAAAAGACAACATAAAATATAAATCGTAGTGTGTTGCCCTAAACGTCCGGGAGCGAGCAACAAGAATGAGAGCTGGACACGAACTCTGGTGCAATGGGTCAGGGGACCTGCAGCCTCTGTTGGACCGAGGTGCAGAGTCCACTCCGAGTCTAGCTGTTATTCCTGATTGCAGACTGCAAAACTTTCCCAAGACACTACATTGACATAGTCCAGATCTCCTTGTTTTGACCCCAGGCCGTTCCCTTGTGGGGTAGTCTCGGGAATAGTCAGCAAGTGTGTAGGCAGTGTTCATACCTAACACTGACCCGCTGTTCCAAGGTCCATGCTTTCATGATCCCAGTCATACTCCCTTCTGGATCTGGCCTTGGGGTCTGTAAGAAAGCTGTTATTCTCAGAAAAACATGAAACATGTTTTTCAACATTGAAATGAATTAGCCATGGATTTACATGTATTCCCCATCCCGGTCCCCCCTCCCACCTCCCTCTCCACCCGATCCCTCTGGGTCTTCCCAGTGCACCAGGCCCGAGCACTTGTCTCATGCATCCAACCTGGGCTGGTGATCTGTTTCACCCTAGATATACATGTTTCGATGCTGTTCTCTTGAAACATCCCACCCTCGCCTTCTCCCACAGAGTCCACAAGTCTGTTCTATACATCTGAGTCTCTTTTTCTGTTTTGCATATAGGGTTATCGTTACCATCTTTCTAAATTCCATATGTATGTGTTAGTATACTGTAGTGGTCTTTATCTTTCTGGCTTACTTTGCTCTGTATAATGGGCTCCAGTTTCATCCATCTCATTAGAACTGATTCAAATGAATTCTTTTTAATGGCTGAGTAATATTCCATGGTGTGTATGTCCCACAGCTTCCTCATCCATTCGTCTGCTGATGGGCATCTAGGTTGCTTCCATGTCCTGGCTATGATAAACAGTGCTGCGATGAACATTGGGGTGCACGTGTCTCTTTCAGATCTGGTTTACTCGGTGTGTATGCCCAGAAGTGGGATTGCTGGGTCATATGGCAGTTCTATTTCCAGTTTTTTAAGGAATCTTCACACTGTTCTCCATAGCTGCTGTACTAATTTGCATTCCCACCAACAGTGTAAGAGGGTTCCCTTTTCTCCACACCCTCTCTAGCATTTATTGCTTGTAGACTTTTGGATAGCAGCCATCCTGACTGGCGTGTAATGGTACCTCATTGTGGTTTTGATTTGCATTTCTCTGATAATGAGTGATGTTGAGCATCTTTTCATGTGTTTTTGTGCCATCTGTATGTCTTCCTTGGAGAAATGTCTGTTTAGTTCTTTGGCCCATTTTTTGATTGGGCCATTTATTTTTCTGGAGTTGAGCTGGAGGAGTTGCTTGTATATTTTTGAGATTAATCCTTTGTCTGTTGCTTCGTTTGCTATTATTTTCTCCCAATCTGAGGGCTGTCTTTTCACCTTGCTTATAGTTTCCTTTGTTGTGCAAAAGCTTTTAAGTTTCATTAGGTCCCATTTGTTTATTTTTGCTTTTATTTCTAAAATTCTGGGATGTGGGTCATAGAGGATCCTGCTGTGATTTATGTCGGAGAGTGTTTTGCCTATGTTCTCCTCTAGGAGTTTTATAGTTTCTGGTCTTACATTTAGATCTTTAATCCATTTTGAGTTTATTTTTGTGTATGGTGTTAGAAAGTGTTCTAGTTTCATTCTTTTACAGGTGGTTGACCAGTTTTCCCAGCATGTGGTGAACATTCTTATATACTAATATGGATATCTCATTCCCTCACACCCAAACAATCATGAGATCCTAAATATCAAATATGTTTATTTCTTTTCAGTCCCACTGTCACCAGCCTTGTACAGGCCATCATCATCTCTAGACTAGAACAACTTCTTTCTTTTTTCTAATTGTGAAAGTCGTTCAGTCACGTCCAACTCTTTGTGACCCCGTGGACTATACAGTTCATGGAATTCTCCAGGCCAGAATACTGGAGTGGGTAGCATTTCCCTTCTCCAGGAGATCATCCCAAACCAGGGATCAAACCCAGGTGTCCCGCATTGTGAACTGATTCTTTAGCAGCTAAGACACAAGGGAAGCCCAAGAATACTGGAGTGGGTAGCCTATCCCTTCTCCAGTGGATCTTCCCAACCCAGAAATCGAACCAGGATCTCCTGCATTGCAGGTTGATCCTTTACCAACTGAGCTATCAAGTTTTAATGTAATCCATTTTAAATAGGTAATATATTCACTGGTTCATAGAGTACAAAAGGGTATACAGTGAAATTTCTCTTTCCCCTTCCTATCCTCCAATCACTGAATTCCCTCTCCTGAGGAAGTTGGAAATCAATATTATCACATTTATGCAGTAGGTATTTAATGAGCACCTCCTATAGGTCAGTCACTTATTAGACCTGGAGCTATTAATATAATGGTAAGCAAGATATATGGAAATAGTATATAGACTCATAGATCTTACATTTAGTTTGAGAATACAAACAAAAATTAATTTCAACTGAAGCAAATATTATGAAGGACATAAACAAGGGACTGAGATAAGGAATAACAAGTCGAGGTTATTCCAGGTAAAATGGTCAAGGTAGCCCTCATTGAGGAGGTAGCATTTACACTGAGATCTAAAGCAGGAGGAATGGACCAATTAACGAATAGGAGGAAGAGCACTTTGAGCAGATGGAAGAGCTTGTGCAAAGGCCCTGAGGTG